CCGCCTTGTTTTCTCCATGGGGGTAGACGAAGAGGGTCTCAGTGATGCGATACCGGGTTGCCAAGTCGATCATCATGACAAACTTGACCTTGGTGTTCGGTTAGGGCACCATCCATTCAGCCAAGTCGATACCCACTTGTTCCCATGCCACCGGCAAAGGTCGCATCGCTGCAGGGGGAATCTTCTTCGAAGAGATGCCACCCTTGACCATCTCCTCACAGGTTGAACAGCGAAACTCTCGAGCTTGCTGTATCTTCCATGGTTCCACTTGGGCATCCACAAGCATGCGCACCAGGTTGCGTGTGGAAGGATGACCAGCTGCACGATGAAACTGGTTGAGTTAAACTTCCCACTTGCGTAGAGCATCTTCAGAAGGAAGTTGATCTTGATCATCGGGCTGTAGGTCTTCTCCAGAAGGTTGTTCTTCTCCAGCGCATAGATCAGCTCCACCAGGAAGTAGATGTTCAGCCACAAAGCCTTCCAGGGTCTCGCCATCATCCACTGCCGACATCCACAGGATCTTCGGCCATCGGTAAGGAATCAGTTGCGATCGGAAGTTTCCGGCAATGGCTTTGCAAAGAGCTGGAGGATAGAAGGCTGACTTGTTGGTCTCGACGCCATGCAACCACTCATGAGTGTGATTGCCTACACAAGTTCTGTTGCGGAACTCGGTGTATAGAAGTAGAGACTGCTCGTCTTGAAAGTCCATGGTTTCAGCACCAAGTTGCCAGAAGAAGATTTCAGGCCAAAGCGGCATCCATCGATGCGGCAATCCCAAACGCCAGGAATCTGGTTGAAGAGCTCCTCGATGATTGGTTCACGCCATCCACGACAGTTGCGAGGCCATTCTCAATAGAGCTCCACAGTCGGGTCATAGGCAATCACGGCCAAGAGAAGGCGAAACATCTTGCGCTCTCGCCTTCGTTTCTTCTGTAGAAGTTCTTCTCGTCCTTGGTAGTTCAAGTCGACCCAACTGCAGAACAAAGTGCACATAGTTGAGATCCAAATCTTCTTCGGTCGTTGCACCTTGAAGAGCTCGAACAGCACCGGGTAGGTCTCAGGCTTGTAGAGATCAAAACCTTGATGTAGGTTTATCCGCTGAGCTGGACGTCCTTCTTCTTCACATGCTTTCGTCAGTCCAGATTCAGGGGAGCAAAACATCTCCCAGATCAGAGGTCTCTTGTTGTAGATCAGTTCGGGAATGTTCGAGGTCAGGTTGTCGTTGAACATGTAGATCATGTCCATCATTTTGCGGCCAACATAGAACATAGAGAGGGACCTTCTTGATGTTGAGGTCGGAGTCCTTCAAGGATTCCCATAGTCCGGCTCCATCTCCTCCTCCGTGTCGGGGATCACCTGCACTCGGCTTGAGGCCAGGTCGTAGATGTGCTTCTTCTCCTCCTCGGTCAAGTGATCCATCGGGTTGAAGGCCACAGGTCGATTTTCCAGAGGAATGTCCTGCCAGCTTGAAGTCGGCGAGGCTTGTTCCTCCTCGGCATAGCCTGCGGAAGGCTGCATCTTCGGATTCACCTTGGGCTTCCCCTTTGGCTTGGGAGAAGCTTTGACTGCTGCGGCAGCCTTTGAAACCTTGTCCATGTTCTTTGCCAGCTGGATCTGGGCCTCATCCATGATGTGCTCGATGCGCATCTCCGCAGTCACCTTGTCGATGAACAGGCGCACCAGCTCTTCGGTCGGCTCCACCTTCTCGGGCAAGGCATTCTTGAGGTCGTGAAGTGCACGTCGAACCATCTGGGGGTTGAAGTTCTGCATCGTGTTCGACGGGGCACCCTTGTTGGGAATGTAGCTCACTCGAAGTGCACACTTCTGACAGTGAACCCACTTCGCCCACTTGTTTCCTTGAGTCTTGCCCGGCTGGTGACTGTTGTGGCATGGCCAGCCCGTGCAGCGTGGATCCCGTGGGTCGGCACCGACCTCTCGGGAGAGATCCGGCTGAAACGTCTTCTTCGTGAGTGAAAACTCGTGGGGATTACTCCACCCATGAGCCGATCTTCTTGCTGCAGACGGAGGCGTCTTTGCCAAAGCTGTTCAAACAAAGTCCTATGAGAGTGAAGACTGTTGACATCACTGGTGACTACTGTTCCGCATTCGAATTCCAAAGTTGAGATGTTACCGACATCGTCCACAAGTTCCATGGATGACATGTGTGCATCGGCTGACAAACGACCTTCAAAACCTTCACCTTCAGGAACTGTGACATGTAAACTGGGATGACCATCATGTAGTGTTTTGCCCTCACACAAGTATTCCACCAAATTGACCATGAAATGACCCTTGACATTCACAGGCATGTAGAAAGGTTTTGCGTTTGCATGTTGTGCACATACTACATAACCATCGGTGAAGTCAATGATCAGACCATTTTGACGAATGAAATCCATGCGAACCAAGACAGGTACTGGTTCGAATCCAGGCCGTAGTGGAGTTTCGGGGTCAGGTAGTAGTGATGCTGGATTGGATTCGAATCAAGTACAAGGCTTGGCCCCATGCTCCACTGCCGAAACGGAACTTTGGCCGCTTTTTCGCATCGACAGAGATGCTCGCTTGGTTGTCTTGGTTGATCACAGCATGGATCAAATTGCGAATGGAGGTCTCTGGGCCAGCACTGCAAGTCGCACCGCAGTCAAGCATTCCAAGGTTGTTGCCTTCCCTCTCGACTTTCCCAAGGTTCATGTGGCCGCCAGTCTCATGGTGAGAGTCAAACTGGAGGCCGTAGGCATCATAGTCGCTCAGGCTGTAGGCGTTCACATTGCCATAGCTCTTGCCCTTCGACTTGCCAAAACCCTTTGATTTGCCCTTCATGAAGGCGTAGAAGTCTTCCATAGAGAAGCTCGTCTTGCCACCACCTTTCGATTTGCCCTTGCCTTTGTGCATGACACAGTCCTGGTAGTAGGGTTCCTCCAGGAAAAAGGAAACACGCTTGCCTTTGCCACCACGAGGTGCGTTGCGATCAGGACAATCGCGAGCAAGGCGATAGCCACCGCAGACAAAGCATCCAGAACCTTGGTTGAAGAGGTCTGGGATCCAAAGCCGCGATCCTTCTTGATCATCTGCGTAGTTCTCTGGGCTTGACCCCAGGAGCGTTCAGCAGCTAAAGCGTCGCCATCAGGAGCTGTGTCAGCTTCAGCTTCATCTCCATGTTCTTCTTCAGGTTGATGTGCATCCCATCCATCGTCGTCCCAACGGACTTGAGCTGCCCATTGGTCGTCCCACCAAGACGAATCATCCCACGACCAATCGTCGTTCTCCGCCATGTTGAAGTGATGAGGACCGCCGCCATGATGTCCAGCACCAGGATGATGAAGACGATGTTGATGAGGGATCTGCTCGTAGCTGAAGAGATGGAGTCATAGTCCAGCTGGTTCTTGGTGGAGGCCAGGATGGATCGCCACTCCTCACTCGACAGAGCGGCTCCACTCAGCAATCTCCAACCACGCAGTTGATTCAAAATGAAGGAGCCGGCCAAGTTGAGACCATGTTGTGTCTGCACGTTCCTCAAAGATCTCGCGCGTCGAGAACCACCACCTTGAGGAGAAGGAGGTACTTGTCCCAAAGGTTGAGCTCCACCAGGACGTTGAGCTTCAGCAGGGCGTTGTTGCTCGGCTGCAGGCTCTTCTGTAGGAACTCGTTGATATCCAGGTCGTGAACCTCCAGCAGATTCACTGTCGGATTCAGAGGATTCATCGATGGTTTCGAAGTCCTTCATGATGTCCGTCTGAGTGCCCTTGAGCTCCATCAGGGATTCCACAAACTCCTCATAGAAGAGACTCTCCCTGACCAGGTACGCATTGATGTTCTCGCCATTGTGTCGACGATACCCAAAGTATTGAGTCATCGTTGCAGCTGAGTTTGGAATCTTCTTGCGAACCAACGGTGAAGCTTCAAGGCGCTTCAGCACATTCTTCACACCATCTGGCCCTGCAATGTCAAGATGACTCCATGACATAGCCAAAAGACGTGCAGGGCCAGTGAGCTTCGAAGCCAATCGAGGACCCAACAGGCTTCGCTGAGATTTGCGAGTCCCCATGTAGAACCACAGCACTTCCCGCTGATAGCGGCGCCAGCCACGAGGGTTTCCGTCTGATGGAACCACCTCGGAAACTTGTTTGTTGGCATTCTCCATGTTGTCAAAGTTTTGGAAAAAGGGACCGTCGCCTCAAAAGCAAGGAGTAGGTCAAACGCAATGAAAATGGGACCGTATCCAAATAGTCAGGAAGCAGGTCAATCACAAAAAGGCCGAAGGAGTCCAAATATTCAGACCCTCCAAGAGGAAGAAACTCTGCCCTTGGCCGTCTGAGCCGGGTGTGGAGGTGCGTTGTCCACCAGAAAGTTCCAAGCAAGCTGTGCTGCTGCAGGATTCTGATTGCGCAAAGTCCACCACGTGTTGATTAGCTCCAAGTAGCCGGCTCTGACGTTCAAATTCTCACCAGGCTGAGGCTCTGGATCTGGCTCTGGTCGAACTTCTTCAGGACGCGCACCCTTCTGAGTTCCCTTCCCAGTTGTTCCAGTTGTAGTTGGCCTCGGGGCTGCATTCCTCAGAGGTCTCACAGGAGGGAAAGCGGAAAACACCGGAGGCAAAGGTGTTCCCCTCAAAGAAGTGCTCACCGACCTCGGCGCAGGAGATCGAGACCGGGACCGACGAAAGTGGTCCGGGCGTCCCTTGCCCTTGCCCTTGTCGCCCTTCGAAGAAGACGACGTCGTGACCGGGCACCAAGTAGCTCGATCAGGCCACCACCAGGGTCTGCCAATGCTACGGCGCACAGGGTCTATGGCTCGGGTGCCACACCAAGTATAGCACAACGCAGATCGCTGCACTCAGCAGCCTATTTTGGGCACGGGTTCGAGCCAGGCTCAAGGCCTGCAGTAGAGACAGGCGCTTATGTTACATGCCACACATGAGTCAATGATGCACTATCACATCAGTCCAAAGTGGGTGGTTTACTAGTATTATGATAGAAATTACAAAGTCAATGGTGCCTCAAAGCCTAAATCTTGATCCATGCACACACGGGAATGCAATCTCCGCAAGCATGGGCAATCGGCAGGGTCCTGGCACCGGTACTGCGATGAGCTCCGGGGAATCGAATAATTCTCTGGTCCCTTTCACGGGGATGTCATCAAGGAAGGGCGCCAGGTCTGCAACGAGAAGGCCGTGTCCTGAAAAGGCATCCCATTGAAAAACCATGCGATTCTTGAGGTCTTCACAAATCAACTATACAGCCCAATGTCCCCCAATTATGTCCATGTAATACGGAAAATGATGATCACCCACCGAAAATTTGGAGAGGTCCCACCAATTTTTAGACAAACCCAACCGAATAAACGAATAAATTTCTCCTCGAATGTGCATGACAACGTCTTTAGGGACTCCTGGCGATCAAGAGAGATGATCACCCAACTGCCCTGGCGCTGTGTATGGTCACCATGCCAAACCAAACTGGTCAGAAGACGAAGTTTAGGAAAAAAAAGGCGCCAAGCAAAAACGGCATGTGTTCACTTTTGAATCGCGCCTTCAGGGGTTCGCTCAGATAAAATCATTGATTGCAGGCACGGGTTGTTGTAAATGGCCTGCGTTTCCAGCATTTTTTTACCCGACAACACCCTTTCAAAACACTGCAAGAGCGCAGTCGCCGCCACCTTGCCTTTCGTTCCAACACATTCTATTTTATGCGGATTTTCAAGGAAGAAACTGATGAATTTGCATATCTTACAAATAGATACAAATAGTTCAAATTGCAGTTTTGGGTGTACAAAAATGCACATATGATGTTCAACTTACTTTCTGTGGAAGGGATTCTGTCGGATAGTATCCAGCGCATGGGGAAGCTCAAGTCAAGGTGGACATCCCACACGCCAACAGCCTACAGTATTTGTTGCAGCACATCAGGATGAAAACCATGAAGACTGTCTTTGCCCTGATATAAACTTTCACAGTAAGCACTTGAGAAACCTGTTCTTGATAGAGGTTTTCTACTACCTCAACCCTCTGCACACGACGTGGAAGACCTGTAGCCAATATTGAACTCCAACCTTGAATCAAGAAACACTATACCCTGTTTTTTTTGCCACATGGGGCACTACAAAAATCTCTGGCTTTTTGGGTTGCCATGGGCTGCCTATTTTTGAAAGCTATTCCACGCCTATCAATCGGTTTCGCACCATTCACAATACTTGGGACGGGTCCGTGTCGGACGCATGGTGTTGCGTGTTTCTTGCGAATCGCAGGCGGCTTGTTACAAAGGAAAGACATAATTGGCATGGCAAACGTAATACAACGTGAGAATATGTGAGAATATCATTCAACAGTTTAACATGACAGGCGCAATATTTGGTGAGGTTTCGAAGGCTGTGGAAGGCTACTTTGCCTGGTGCCTGGCATACGCAATACTTCGGGCACTTTTGATGATGTGGCTTTCACTTTCTGTATTGGCACAGCTAAAACAAGGTAGGGTGTCAAGTCTTCAACAAGGATCCCTCCTGACACAAAACAACCCGAGATGGGTCAAAAATTGAAACCCGGGCAACCGCAGATTTTGGTGGCTGAAGGAATCTGCACATGTTTCTTGACTGGACAGATATTGCGGTGTGCATAGTAAGGATCAGCCCCTTGAGAAACAATGGTGTCCAGATCCTCCAGCCGAAGATGGTAGGATTCCCGTAACGAGCCTGGTTATGTCCATATGAAATCAGTCCCCAATACACCAGGTGGTGACTTCCATCACTCAACCAATCAACCGAATTCTTGGCACGCTCGGTAACATCTTTGGGGACTCCTTACGAGCACATTTCGGTGGCGCGAAATCCTATGCGTTGCTTGGTTTCGAGACTTTACAAAACGTGAGACTTCTCATGTTGGATATCTTGTAGATCCGGGTGTATAAGCTAGCAGATTCTGGCTCAAGTTAAGCATCAACGTCCCCGCCCCCAAACCAACCAACCCTACTTGCTGTGTAGAACCAAAGACGTGTGCAACTCACCCCAACGCTGCCCCATTTGTTGTTGCGTCACCCCACCATCATGTCAAACACAACGAAAAGTTTGTGCCATGACGGACTGCATTTAAAATTTAGTCAGCCAATTGCCCCCGTCGGGGCAATCTGCTCTTGACGTCAATAAATAAATGCCCCCTTCAAGTTATTTCTGATTATTTGGGGAAATTTAGGGTTGTAATTCAGCCGGCCCCTTTGACCATGAATGGCAGACCTGCACCCAAGAAGAAAACAAACCAAATAGTTTTGATCCGACTGGGAAACAGGGGGTCACTGCACCATCCTCTGTTTTTCCCCACCTGCCAGGTGAGGGTTGTTAGATTTTATCACAGTTGTTCTCCTCCTCCTTCTTCTCCTTCTCCTCCTCGTCCTCCTCCTTCTCCTCCACCACCTCTGCATCCACTTCCACGTCCACTTCCGCCTTGCCAACTCTTCGCCAATCTCTTCGCCAACTTCTGCGCGCAGTGGGCACTGCTGGACCTCAACTGCCGGCTTCCGATCTGAGTGGGCACGGCTGGACCTCAACCGCAAGGTTCTGAGCGCAGTGGGCACCGCTGGACCTCAGCCAGGGACCTTCCGAGCCCAGTGGGCACCGCTGGACCTCAACCTGGGACCTTCCGAGCTCAGTGGGCACCGCTGGACCTTAGCGGCCAAATGGAATGCCAGAATATATGCCAGAAAGACTGCCAGAATATATGCCAGATAGACTGCCAGAATATATGCCACATAGAACACCACATAGAATCCCAAAATATATGCGAGAAATATATGCGAGAAAGAATGCCACATAGAATGCCAGAATATATGCCAGATAGAACGCCAAAATATATACCAGATAAAATGCTGGAAGATATGCCAGATAGAATATCAGAATAGATGTCAGATAGAATGTCAGGTAAAATGTCAAAATATATGTCAGAATATATGACTTGAAATGCCAGGGTGGGGATCGCTCGAAGTAAAGTAATTTGTCTGACGTATTTTGTACATGGTTGGTTAACAAAATTGGCACACCCTTGGAAATCCAAGTTTTCCCCACTTGCAAAAGGATTTTGACAGAATTCAGGCCAGGTTATGGGTGGCACGTCCATATTTCTGAACTCAAAGTTTCTCCAGGTAAAAAGGTGTCCCTGATTAGAAAAAAAATACTTGACTTCGAGTTATCCCCACCATGACATCTATACGTTTTGTTACTGGCTAATCTTCTGGCATTCTATCTGACATATCTTGTGGCATTTTATCTGGCATATCTTCTGGCATTCTATCTGGCATATCTTCTGGCATTCTACCTGGCATATCTTCTGCAATATGTTCTGGCATATCTTCTGGCACTCTATCTGGCATATCTTCTGGCATATCTTCTGGCATATCTTCTGACATTCTATCTGGCATTCTATCTGGCAAATCTTCTAGCGTTCTATCTGGCAAACATTCTGGCACTTTATCTGGCATACCTTCTGGCATTCTATCTGACATTCTATCTGGCATACCTTCTGGCATTCTATCTGGCATATCTTCTGGCATTTTATCTGGCAAATCTTCTGGCACTTTATCTGGCATATCTTCTGGCATTCTTTCTGACATTCTATCTGGCGTTCTATCTGGCATATATTCTGGCAGTCTATCTGGCCGTTGAGGTCCAGCGGTGCTCACTGAGCTCGGAGGGACCCAGGTTGAGGTCCAGCGGTGCTCACTGAGCTCGGAGGGTCCCAGGTTGAGGTCCAGCGGTGCTCACTGAGCTCGGACGGTCCCAGGTTGAGGTCCAGCGGTGGTCAGTGAGCTCGGAGGGTCCCAGGTTGAGGTCCAGCGGTGCTCACTGTCCCAGGTTGAGGTCCAGCGGTGCCCAGTGCGCTCAGACCCTTGCAGTTGAGGTCCAGCAGCGCCCACTGCGTGCGGAAGTTGGCGAAGAGCTTGGCGAAGAGTTGGCAAGGCGGAAGTGGACATGGAAGTGGAGGCAGAGTGGTGGAGGAGGAGGAGGACGAGGAGGAGAAGAAGAAGAAGAAGGAGGAGAACAACTCTGATAAAATCTAACAACCCTCACCTGGCAGGTGGGGAACTAAGAACCAAATTGAACAAATTTCCCTCGCCTTGTTTTTTGGAGTTGGAGGGGTATAATAAGCCCTCGGCGCCTCCAGGCACTCTGGGGATAGCCCCGATTGGCCGGGGTCTCACCTGGGTCGCGGGTATTTTCTGTGCGCCCTTTGCGACGCCCTTTCCAATGATTTTGCCAATTGCCGACGCCCAGCCTAGGCATAGCTTGCAGTTGGATCCACGGTGATAGGTCATGTTTCTTGAAGCCCATGCCAAAAATGTCTTGCATCTGAAGACATGGAGTTACCAAAACCCAGCATCATCCAGGATTGATTCTCAGGGAGGCCTTGGAAGGTGAGGGGTTCGTCAAATAATCCTGGCGTCCGCAACCAGCTTTGAAAAGGTATAATCCGCCGACCCCTGCCTAGCCTGGGCCTAGCCAGGGCGGCGCATGGGACCATGGCAGGTGTGCGACATTAGCCTTGGCCAACGCTCCGCTGCAGTTTCAGCGCCTTGCTGCCTACCCTTGAAAAGCTCCGCTGCAGCCTCAGCGCCTTCCTGCCTACCCTTGAAAAGCTCCGCCGCAGCTTCAGCGCCTTGCGGCCCCCACAACTCTTTGCCAGCTCCCAAAACTCTATTTCTTTTGCGTTTCGAGACTGCTGCGCAGCACGTTTCACCACCCTTCAAAGGCCCCGCTTGCAGCTTCCCTTGAAAGGCTCTGCTGCAGCTTCAGCGGCCTGCTGGCTCCCACAACTCCCTGCCAGCCTCAAAACTGCTGGCCAGCTCCCAAAACTCTGTTTCTACGGCATGTCGAAACTGCTGCGAAACACATTTCACCACCCTTTTCAAAGGCCCCGCTGCAGCTTCCCTTGAAAGGCTCCGCTGCAGCTTCCGCGGCCTGCTGGCTCCCACAACTCCGCGCCAGCCTCAAAACTTCTGCCCAGCTCCCAAAACTCTGTTTCTATGGCATGTCGAAACTGCTGCGAAGCACGTTTCACCACCCTTCAAGGCCCTGCTGCAGCTTCCGTTGAAAGGCTCCGCTGCAGCTTCCGCGGCCTGCTGGCTCCCACAACTCCGTGCCAGCCTCAAAACTGCTGGCCAGCTCCCAAAACCCCGTTTCTATAATCATACGTTGCAGGTCGCAACTGCTGCGAAACACATTTCACCACTCTTCAAACAGCTTCCCTTGAAAGGTTCCGCTGCAGCGTCAGCGGCCTGCTCCCACAACTCCGTGCCAGCCTCAAAACTGCTGGCCAGCTCTCAAAATTCTTTTTTTTCTATAGCATTTCGAAACTGCTACTTCGCCACCCTTCACAAAGGCCCCCCGCAACTCCGTGCCAGCTTCAAAACTGCTGGCCAGCTCCCAAAATTCTGTTTTTATAGTTATACGGCGTGCATTTCGAAACTCTACGTTTCACCATCCTTCAAACGCCTCGCTGCAGCTTCAGCTGGCTCCCACAATCCGTGCCAGCCTCAAAGCTCCTGGCCAGCTCCCAGAACTCTGCTTCTATAATTTCGAAATGCTGCGAGGCAAATTTCACGACCCTTCAAAGGCCCCACGGCAGCTTCCCTTGAAAGGCTGGCTCCCACAACTCCGCGCCAGCCTCGAAACTGCTGACCAGCTCCCAAAACTCTGTTTCTATAATTATACGTAGCATTCCGAAACTGCTGCGAAGCACGTTCAAAGGCCCCGCTGCGGCTTCCCTTGAAAGGCTCTGCTGCAGCTTCAGCGGTCTGTGGCTCCTCTGCGCAGCTTCCTTTGAAAGGCTCCGCTGCAGCTTCAGCTGGCTCCCACAACTCCGTGCCAGCTTCAAAACTTCTAGCAAATTTTGTTTCTATAGCGCGAATCACATTTCACCACCCGTCAAAGGCCCCGCTGCAGCTTCCCTTGAAAGCTCCACTGCAGCTTCAGCGGCTGGTGGCTCCTACAACCCCGCGCCAGCTTCAAAACTGCTGGCAAACTCCCAAAATACTAGGTTTCTATAGCATTTCGAAACTGCTGCGAACAACTCCGTGCTAGTTCCTAAAACTCTGTTTCTATAGCATCTGAGCTGGCGAAACATCTGCGAGGCTGGCTGGTGGCAATGGCAGGTCTCCCCTCTTAGAACTTGGTCGGCACCAGGGCGTCAGCCCATTTATAATTAATGTTGTTGCCTGGTAAACCCAAAAAAAACAAAATATGTAAGCCATCCCTCAATATCACCAGGAATGGAAATCGAGAATTTGGCTTTGCCTCAGTAAGACTTTGGCAGGTCTCAAAAGAGCTTCCAAAATTACCCTTGCGCCGAATCACTCGCTTTGGCATGCACTCTATCTATGTAAAACAAGTATACTTACCCGCTTTCCGCTGATGCTTCAGGCCTCCAATGCCACCCTAACTGTCCGAGCCACGTAAGCGGCGGCCAGAACGTTTGCTCAGCAAGGCTCTCCTCACCTCATCAAAATGCAACAGATCGAAACGTTTCGAAAGTGAAAACTGGAGAAGAAGAGTGACGCTGGGCACGTAAGCCAATGTGGCATCAATAATGTGGCCCTACATTCACTTGAAGGAGCGTCGCTCCTTGACGTGAATCGAAAGAAAGAAAGCACGAGACAAGGCTGTGTGAGGCGAATCTAAATGAGTTTTCTTTGCAGCACAATGGCTTTGCGCGGTGGCTCTCTGGAGGCAGCGGAAACTCAATGAATCCCAAGGTGGTATTTTATGATGCTGGTCGGACAGTCGGAATCAGCTGAATTTGATCTCTAGTAGCTTTGTTACAGAAAAGAACCAAAATCTGGTATCTGTTATCTTGATGATCAGGTTGGAAGTGACATGTTTCACGCTACCTAAGTTAAGGTGGTGATGGGGTGCCCGTGCGTGTAAGAGATCTGAACAAAAATCATTTCTTCGACATATGCATCTGTTGGGTGCAGTGCGTCAATTCGGTTTGAGATGATGGTGTGTTCTGTGCATCACGTGCACCACATTCAAACGGTTCTGTCCAACCAAAGACTCATAGCTTTCGAACCGTCTCTGAATGTGTATTTAAATATATGAGAGATTTAGCAAGAGGTGGCTAAGCCATGCAGTAAATTGCAATGCTCAAACTTCCTCGAATGTGCCTTTGTTCAAACACTCAATGGTAAACAAATTAGGTATGTGTTTCCCCCAATGGTTGAACCCCAAATAACTATGGTTGAGACTATCGGTTTCATCCATGTTGTTCCCTCGGCACCTTCAAGTGTTCATGTCCAGCAGCGTCTTCCTGAACACGAAAACAATGGCTTTACCCAGCTATTTGGACATGTGTTGGCTCTTTGGTAATGCAACCCGCTGGATTCAACTGGTACACCAGCTTTTGGGGCCCCAACGAATGATTTGTCAACCCAATATAGAATGGTTCCCACAATGGTTGTAATATTCAAACGCCGACTGGTGAAATGAAGTACACATGTACATGCAGATACATGTTCTCAATGTTGCTGATCATTGGGTGTACCACATTACCAAACAGTTCAACCAACTATGAATTCCGTTTTTAGTTGGGGATGCCCCCATCAACGGGCATGCAATTTGTTGGGAACCTCGAGCCTATAGAGTCAATTTGTTCGGCCTTTGGCACGTTAAACCTTTGTGGAACTTGACTGCTACCCTGGTGAACCCAAGCATGGTTGGCAAATGAATGTTCATCCATCCATCCCCCCAAAATAGGATAAAACACGTTTGGATCCATCCCCAACTGACTGCTTCGCGGCTTGAAAGTGGTCAACTATCCAACGTGAGTCCCAGGAATCAGCTGATCTTCTGAGAACTCGACCTGAGCCCAGACCAACACCACCAGCAAAGCACAAAGGCGCAGACTCAAAGTCATGGCAAGCGCACATGAAATGGTCTAGAGTCTGATTCTGGTTGAAGAGGTGGCAAGCCTCTGCCGATGGATTGGAACATGTTTAGTAAGTCTTCAGGAATTTTACATTTCACCAAACCGTGCAGAGCTTTTGTTGGGTCCCATCCAGCGTCCTATTGTATTTGCTGCAACCGGTGTGTAGCTGGCGTTTGCCCAAGGTCCATGGCATGATTTTTGGTAGCAAAACTTCAGCGCCATTGAACAGTCAAGGCGAAGGGACAAACTCTGCAAGGAACCGTCAAAAGAGGCGCCCAACACGGCTCGTAGCTGTGCCATTTCCTTTAATTTCGAAATCAGAAGAACTCCCCTGCCCCCATGGTCAACGTTTTTGCCACTCACATCCGCAAATCACATCCACGGCTCTTTTGGCCTCAATCCTCCGCAGTCTGCGAGCTTCTGTCGCTGCAGCGGGAATCGTCAAAGTCTTTGTACAAGTCGATCGCAATCTGCTGTAGCCAGACAAATCAGCAACAAAAAAGATCTCAACCATGTGTGAGCAAGTAAATTTGAGCTCTGTTTGTTTCATCACAAACATCAAATCTGGCCTCTGCTCAGCGGTTCAGGAAATGGTCATGGAAGCAAGTTGTTAGCCACTCCAACAGGCACCTCAGCTACAAAACGTCTTTCAGTGCCAAGTTGTGTGCGAGCTGATGGGCCGAAATAAACCGTCCCTGTCCCTCTGCATGGTGATGTGAGTTTATATTATATGTTTGCTATTTCCAAACATATATGCTGAAATCCACTATGAGAAAATATATCAACCAACCGACTCATCTGACCCTTGACCTTCCTTTACAACTGGTCAACTGGCCTCTTGACGGCTTCATTGACCACATCATAGCCTCTGGTCGTCAAAATGAGCTTTCGGATCATATCTTGGTCTGCCTTGTTGCTGGCTTCCGCATAGCGAACATCCATCTCTTCAAAGGATTTCTGCAGTTTCGTGAAGCCACCAGTGCTGTTCAGTGTCTCTGAGAACGACACTTCCGCACTCTCGGGCAAAATGATGGTCATCGGCAATTTTTTATCGATGCAAACAAAGGATTCGAATATGCACCAAGCCCGAGTGATGTAAACCGGCTCAACAAAAGTGTCCATCAGCAGCAACATGCGGCCTGCCTCTACCAGGTGATCCTCGAAGACTCCTTTCAAGACATCAGATCCGGTTTGAGTCTGCGATTCCAACATCCGATATTGGTTGTTGCAGAAAAAGCACACCCACAGATACACTTCGCTGGCAGTGATCTTCTCTCTTTCGGCCCAAGTCCGCAGGGCACTGACAAAGTCATTTAACTTGTAGGCCCAACACCAGGAAACGAAATGGGTAACCTCAGAAGCTTTGGGTCATGGTTTGGGAAGTGCCGGCCTGCCGGCGTGACTGATTGGAAGGTGTTGTTCCTGTTGTGTTCTTGGCTTGTCCTTTGTTCTCTTGCTACGCGCCTTTCCTTCGTCTGACTTGAGTCCCTCCCTCTCCCCTCCATATAAGTAGCTAAGCCTGCTACCACAACCACTACTACTACTCCTCCTCCTCCTGCTCCTCCTGCTCCTCCTCGTACTCCCACCCCTACCCCTACCCCTACTCCTCCCCCCCCACTCCTCTACTCCTTCCTTCTTCCCCAAGCATTAAACTACACGGTACTAAACTGATCAACCATTCTTCACGCATTCGCTTGCTACTCAAGCTGCTTCTGATCTACGGCTCTGTCTTCGTCTCTTCCTCCTCTTCCTCTTCTTCCTCTTCTTCCTCTTCTTCCTCTTCTTCCTCTTCTTCCTCTTCTTCCTCTTCTTCCTCTTCTTCCTCTTCTTCCTCTTCTTCCTCTTCTTCCTCTTCTTCCTCTTCTTCCTCTTCTGCCTCTTCTTCCTCTTCTTCCTCTTCTTCCTCTTCCCTCTTCTTCCTCTTCTTCCTCTTCTTCCTCTTCTTCCTCTTCTTCCTCTTCTTCCTCTTCTTCCTCTTCTTCCTCTTCTTCCTCTTCTTCCTCTTCTTCCTCTTCTTCCTCTTCTTCCTCTTCTTCCTCTTCTTCCCCTTCTTCCTCTTCTTCCTCTTCTTCCTCTTCTTCCTCTTCTTCCTCTTCTTCCTCTTCTTCCTCTTCTTCCTCTTCTTCCTCTTCTTCCTCTTCTTCCTCTCTTCGTCTCTTCTTCCTCTTTCCTCTTCTTCCTCTTTCTTTTCTTCCCTCCTCTTCCTCCTCTTCCTCCTCTTCCTCCTCTTCCTCCTCTTCCTCTTCTTTCCTCCTCTTCCTCCTCTTCCTCCTCTTCCTCCTCTTCCTCCTCTTCTCCTCTTCCTCCTCTTCCTCTTCTCTTCCTCCTCTTCCTCCTCTTCCTCCTCTTCTTCCTCTTCTCTCCCTCCTCTTCCTCCTCTTCCTCCTCTTCCTCCTCTTCCTCCTCTTCCTCCTCTTCCTCCTCCTCCTCTTCCTCCTCTCTTCCTTCCTCCTCTTCCTCCTCTTCCTCCCTCCTCCCTCCTCTCTCCTCTTCTCCTCCCTCCTCCTCCTCTTCCTCCTCTTTCCCTCTTCCTCCTCTTCCTCCTCTTCCTCCTCTTCCTCCTCTTCCTCCTCTTCCTCCTCTTCCTCCTCTTCCTCCTCTTCCTCCTCTTCCTCCTCTTCCTCCTCTTCCTCCTCTTCCTCCTCTTCCTCCTCTTCCTCCTCTTCCTCCTCTTCCTCCTCTTCCTCTCTTCCTTCTTCCTCTCTTCCTTCTTCTCTTCTTCCTCTTCTTCCTCTTCTCTTCTTCCTCTTCTTCCTCTTCTTCCTCTTCTTCCTCTTCTTCCTCTTCTTCCTCTTCTTCCTCTTCTTCCTCTTCTTCCTCTTCTTCCTCTTCTTCCTCTTCTTCTTCTTCCTCTTCTTCCTCTTCTTCCTCTTCTTCCTCTTCTTCCTCTTCTTCCTCTTCTTCCTCTTCTTCCTCTTCTTCCTCTTCTTCCTCTTCTTCCTCTTCTTCCTCTTCTTCCTCTTCTTCCTCTTCTTTCCCTCTTCTTCCCTCTTCTTCCCTCTTCTTCCCTCTTCTTCCTCTTCTTCCTTCTCTTCTTCCTCTTCTTCCTCTTCTTCCTCTTCTTCCTCTTCTTCCTCTTCTTCCTCTTCTTCCTCTTCTTCCTCTTCTTCCTCTTCTTCCTCTTCTTCCTCTTCCTCTCCTCTTCTTCTACCTCTCCTCTCCTCTCCGCTCCTCTCCTTTCCTCTGCTCTCCTCTCCTCACCTCTCCTCTCCTTTCCTCTGCTCTCCTCTCCTCTCCTCTGCTCTCCTCTCCTCTTCTCTTCTCTTCTCTTCGCTTCGCTTCTCTTCTCTTCTGCTTCTCTTCTGCTTCTCTCTCAGGCTTCCACCTAGGGTGCACATCAACTTCCTTTGGGGCAAACTCCTTCCGCTTCCACCCTGTGCTCTTCCATGCAGCTGCCTGCTGTCAAGGCAGAGGCTCATACATAGTACCTGGCACTACTTTGCTGAGGGCGGTATTCTTTTGGCATACGGTCAACCACCTAGAGTGCACACCAAACTCCCTTGGGGCCACCTCTTTATGACCAGCGGGCTTGCCAAAGGCAATTAAATAATTACAACAATGACTTACACTTGGGATGAACCTCTAGTACTGGGTTTGAACACAAAATTGGAAAATCAAATCTGCTTTCCCAAAAAATAGTAATCGTACGCTTAATATGTACGAATCTACTGTAAAAATAGTAATAGCACTCGCACTAGTTATACAATAACAATGAGAAAACCAATACTGACAGTAATAGAAATGACTATCTTCCTCCAGCAACTTTGCCCCTGTGTGTCTCATGCACTGCATCCACCAGGCTGCAGTTCGGCTTGCCGTCTCGAGGACAGGTCTTTCCATATCCCAAGCCGTTGGGACCATAGGCCAACACCGGCGCGATCTCGTAGAAGTTGGGGTTGCTGCTGCCACTTCCATAGCGCACCAGATGATCCCGGGCGAGGTCTGGAAACACCCCCAAAGCCTCAAAAAATCGACACGGTGTTTTCTCGCGCAAAATTGATGGAATCGGAGAAGAATGCGCTTTTGATATTTTTCTGATAATTGCTCGGCAAGTTTCGGGACAACTATTTTTAAAAAATTAAAAAGATAGGCAATAAATTCATACTGACCAATTTATATGTATGATACACGATGATTTCTCTTCAGAAAAACCTGGGTAGCCATCGAACCAACCAACACTTTCTGTTTCAGCTGACTTGGAACAAAGGCAGCGCTAACGCCAAAGACGGGCTCTGGTGGAACAGGGGCACATCGTGGGCACATCGAAATGGCGTCACAGCATCGGCACCTCGTTGGCAAAAGCTCAATCCCTACCCTCAAGGAATCGAAAAAGCCACCTGAATGAGTTCATATGGGGATTGATTGGGAATTTTTATGAACGTTTGGGGAAACAAAACTACCATTTATATATTCATTGAATATTATACTCCCATAAATCATGAAACCAAAGGGGTCCCATAAGTTGGTGCTTGTAGGAGTAGTAGTGCATGCAGCGCCTACACTCCATTCCTGCGGTGCTCAACCGACACCATGTCTTTCAAATGCAACTGGACGCGCTGATGAAGAAGATGCAGGCTCATCACGAGCCACTGATGAAACACTGAGGTGAGACACTGGTCGTTTTCCGGTGATTCGCTTCGCGACACGGATATTGTTTGATGGCTCCCTTTTCAAAAATTCCGGAGTTTCCATGGCCATGTCTGCTTACCAGGGCGTTAAATGGCGTGAACGAGTTTTGGCGGAAAACTTACAGGGAAAAATGGATTCATCAGCCAAATATGGGGTGTTATTGCACAACTGCACAACTCACAAAGAATGGCTGATCCAAAACAGCAAACAACAATCCTAATGCGGTAAGGGCACTTCCAAAACCATTCCTGGTCCTTCTGCAGGCTACAAAGGCTACACGAATAAGCAGCTTTGTCTTGCCGTAGCTCCATCCAGTGCTCAGAATTCACTGGACAAGAAGGGATTCGGACCCAGCAAAGGGTTTGTCCAGCCAGTTTTCCACACCTTACCAGCCACGTGATCTGTTTCTCGGTTTCACTCTTTAGCTCTTGGATGCTTCCGTCAGGCCATTGGAACTGCAGTGGGTTGCAGCCCATTTCCAGTTTGAACCTCTGATTCATGGCTTCGAAGCGGCCGTTCGACACCCTGGAACGGATGAAAGGTCCATCCCACTCCATCAACCAAAGCCCGTCCTCAGAGCACAGCTTCTGCCGGGCCCCCCCCAACAATAGAGGGTTGAAAAGCCCTGGGGTTGATGATGGTTCAGAGCCCCAACATAGCCCAACAAGGTGTAGATGTAATGGGTTGTCCAAAATGTTGCCTCGGATTCCTTGGCCCAAGCTTCCAGGTCAGGCTGCGCAGAAGCGGTAGCAACTGGCTCAGGGTCGAAATCAAAATCCAAGGGGTAGAACTTGTCTTGAAATTCCTCGGCTCAAGGACTTAGTGACCCATGGTGACCTCTGCGCCTTTTAGACTTGCTGACCTCTCTCCTTATCGTGGTCCTCCTCCCAAACATGTTTTTTTCCACCTGGGCTGTGTTTGACCAAGCATCTTTGAACGAGATCCGACCATCCCCGTCCACGTCCAGCGACTTGAAAAAGGCTTTGAAATGTGCCGGAGGCAGATCTTTTGCCCATTTTCGGAGTTCCGTGCCTCAAATCGCCAAGTGCTGGATGGCGATAAGGATACCATGCTCAGTGCCGTGCTGGACCTTTCTGTTGATTCTTAGGACCTGAAACCATCCATTCTTGGGCCAGATATGTTGAAAATGCCCAGGCCATCTCAAAATGGGGGTCAATGGTTTTGAGCCAAACAAAGTGATTTTCCCATCCTCTTAGCTAGCATCCATAGAACTGCGAAAGTTGTCAAAACTCCTTGATTATCCAAACCCAAACTCATCTGCCCTGGCTGTAATATAGTGTAATCATTCTCAACACCCCTTGAAAGTTCATGTTCCAAGCCCAAAATTGAAGGATTTTGCTATCCCTACTGCGATCTATTCCCAGCATGTTTCCCCGGAAATATCCATTCCGAGCCACTGGATATAAAGCCATCTCCATCGGTATCCAGTTGGTCGAACGCATTAGCTGCTTTCCCCTTCCTGGCAGCTAGGGGTCTAGCAGGTGGTCGTTCCTCTGGCACTCCTGGCGCTTTCCCATCGGAGCAACAACCCGCGTTGCCCATCTGAGATGGCTTGAATAGAATCAGCAAGGGATGGCTTGCAGTTTCAACCTATCCAATGCAAACTGAGACTAGGGGGATCATCAAACCGGGGTAGGATGAAAATACCAAGTATCTGAAACCACCGTCTACTGATGATTTCCAGCTGCAAACAAGATTGTGGACTACTTGCACTTGACATCCCTTTCGTGGTGACCCCCTGTGAGTTATGCAGGTCTTGTAGCCTATCATAATTACCCAAGCGATCGACCCACTTTTGGGGCCTGTTTCGCACTGGGACCCAAGCTGGCTGTCTGAGAAAATCGATGCACAACGATCAACATCGCCTGATTAACAGCTTCATGTTTTTTCCCGCAATTTCCAGATACCCCGAAATTGGATCAACTTATACATGAAAGGACGCTTGCTCGACCCTCGACTTCAGAGCCTGAGCTTCAGCAATAACAACTGTTTTTCTCCAGGTCACTGCGTGATCCCTCTTTGGAAACCAACGTCGAAAAGTGAAATTTATCGTGCTTGTCATGATGTCCATGACGCTTGCACAGCGGCTAGTGGAATGCACAGTGAGGTCTTCAACAATGTCTTGCTGGACTGGACAAGCACTTTGTGCATCTGACGTCATCCCAAAAAAGGTTACAGGTACAGCCATGGGCCTGTCAAGGAGCCAGTGAACTCGGCATTAGTTGGCAGTCATCTTGTGCCCATTAAAAAAATGCGTCACTTGGAACATCCATTTGGTTTGAAAACAACAAGTACGAACGAAACGACCACGCAGTTGCAACACCATGGTGTTCTGAATGTTGTATCAAATATACATCTTCATACTGGGGTGGTAAAAGACATGGTCCACCGGCGACAAGGCTCCCTGTTTCGAATTTGGCATTGGCATTGGTCGCCGTAACATGCAACCAGGGACATTGTCCGCTGGCAGGTGAGACAGGAGGCCCACTGGAAGCATCCAACAGCTCATTTCGCAGTGAATACGACGTGGGCCTTGGTTGAAAAATGTTGAAAACATGAAAGCAAAAGCACCACCAACATCTCCCAGAACTTTATTTGCATGAGAAATCGAAAAGCAGCACCCACATTGGTATGGATCATAATCGAATTCGTTGGAGCTGGTCACTGGATCAAAATCAATCGAGGTCCTCTGAGTCCTGAGATTTTGACTCCCCGAAAAGACCAGGCTCCGGGCATCGCAAAAAGGAAACCATCGGCCATCACCAAAACTGGCATCGTCGAGAATCGGAGAACTCGAACGAAGATTTGTGAATCCGGGCATAAAGGAAAAGTAGGGGAAATCAAAAATCCCAAATCTGTGCCAAGGTGTCTGATTCCCGGCGCCAAAAATCACCATCCATCAATACACCACTCACACGGGGCATCTATGGGGCGAATCTCTCCGAATTTTGCAGATCCGGCATCCATGGGGTGATAGCAAGGCATTCACAATAGCAAGCAAACTCGGCCGTGTATGACGCATCAGATCGGGATCTAGAGGGTTTAATTCACATCCAGATAGCGGGCAAATCATAGCAAATCATCCCCAGGTAATTAATGTCATTTATATCCCTAGATCTTTGTAGGGGACCGCTGGACGGCCCTTCAATCTCGACCGCCTTATTGACCTTGGATGTTGCTTTCATCCACCAATGCTGGGCTCACCTCCTCCTCATCTCCATCGTGCACAATGGGTGGCGGCTGTGCAGTGGCCATCATTGCCTTGGTACAGTAGTCTTGGGGTCATCCAGCCTCACCAAGAGGCATTCCAAAGGATTTACACATAGTTGGGACCATACGAAGCGGGGGTTGAATAGTGTTGAATCTGTCTATCTGTCTAATATGTCTAATAATGTGTCTAATTTGTCTAATCTGTCCAAATAGGTAAGATAGATTGAAAGACAAATAAAATCAAATTAGTTCAGATTAGTAAGAAAATAGACTTAGATATTAATTAATTATTGATTAATTAAAAATGTTAAATTAATTATTACACATTTTTCATTTCAAATTAAATTTTAAAAGTTTAAATTAAATAAATTAAAACATTAATAAATTTGACTTAAATCAATTTTTAATGATTTTAATGATCTATGACTCTGACATTATTACTGAACCCTCTGATTTCCCAGACTTCCAAACCACCAACCCAAACCACCACGTAAGCGTAACCTGAGGGAATGGGATTGTTCAAAAAACACTCTTCAGATTCCAAATAAGATATAATTAGACTGCTCAGTGATGCTTCATTGGGGTGTCATCATCCCCATTCATATCATATTAAGCTCCTAAAGTCAGCGTTCGCTGCTCCCCAATTGTTTGAGACATACCCATCTTCAAGCAATAGGGGCTGGGAAATGTCCGCAGGATCGGGAATTTCAAAACATCACCAGCATATCCAGGTTGCGTTTGCTGGTTCTCTCTCCAATTGTGGGTTCAAGCACCCTTTTATGCCAACGTTTGAAGTGTCTGAAATGGGGTACCCGCCGACTTGCCATTTTAAACTGATGAGTAACCAGTGGACTTGGAGGTTTTTACCTGAATTTTCAGGGTTAAATCATGTTAAATCCATGTCCAATCCACGGAACGCAACGGTGCCGTACGCCATAGTAAACTCAGTCTCCCAACACTGGCGCGAGTCTCGTGGCTGTCTTCTTCACCACCGAGATTCAAGTGCCTGGCTGTCAATGAGAACCACAGGGAACCCCCAAGAAAAACTGGGCCGCGAAAGTGCTACCCCATCTTCCCATCACGTTAATCATACGCGTTGGTAAATGAATATCCCAAAATTGGGAGGCAATAATCCCCAAATAAACCAAGTGGGTTGCTACTGCCAGAAGGTGACCCAAGAACCCTCTGGAACCATGGCTCTAAGTCAATAGTGGGCATCCAAAAAAGTATATCCAGTTAGAATCTGCACCTACTTAGCCTACTTATGACGAGGTGATAAGCCACTTACCAAGTGGGATGAGCCACCAAGTGCTGCTCCAAATGATGAAAATCCGTGGGCTCCATCAGACCTTCCAGTGGTCACCCAGCCTGTGCACCATCACCTGCTGCTGCATTGCCAGCAATCGCACCTGTGGGATGGCCATGGCCCTTTTAAAAAAAGAATTTATCCCACCGATCCCACGAAAATAATCCCACTGGTCATGGGCAGTTCTGGGGTTGTTATTTTATTGATATCCCACCGATGAGTTGTTCCCTACTTGTTGGCAACCTGTTGGGGATCCTTTCGGAGACTGTTTCACAGTGATTCGGCAAGATGTCTCAAGCTTCTGTGAGAGCTTTGTATGCCCATTCCCATTTGTGCAGACTGGAGGCTGAGTCTTGTTTGCTCTTCTCCCAACAGGAACTAAGCAGTTCAGAGAGCAAGTATCTATCTTCAAATTAATCCGAAAAGAGCTTCCATGCCACTCAGTTCCCACCGGCCAAGTTAGCATGCAAAGAGGATCAATTCCGATCCTCAAGTATCTGGTACATCCATTTTCTGAGATCTGGAGCGGAAAATTGTGTTCCTCGACTTGCCTTGTTGCTTCAACAGAAGCTGGACTTATTAGACATAGATTCTATTGAAGCAACAAGGCGGCAACAAAAGGCCAGGTTGGCTTGTCTCTTGATTGGCCCTCTGAGCTGTGCTTGAATTACATCAGGTGGTGCAACGCTCAGTTTCAAAGGGGTACCAAGGAGGTCCCAGAGTTCCAAGGTCCAAGGTTCCAATATAGTAAGAAGGGATTGTATACTCATTCAATCAATGAAAATGTCAATCTTCCCAGCTTTCTCTACACCATTCACATCCCGCCTCGTGTGGTATGGCTGGGAAGAGAGTGGAGATCAATATCCTGCCAACCGCGACTGGTGGTCTACCCCCTCCAGCTAACCTGACCATGGATCATGATCCACAGATTTTACCAATTTACCCACTACAAAAAAAGGGTAGGTTTCCCATTGCTGGGTTCACGGGAGCGTGCTTTCGGCTGGGAGAAAGGGAGAAACCATTGGTCACCCCTTGACCGCCAGTCTGCTGGAAGCAGATCCACTCCTGAAGCCAATCATGGCGTGCTCGACCACCATGAAGAGCAGGATCTTGTGGAAGTGGTTCCTTGTTTGGTCAGTCAGGAGCATCGCAAAATTGGAAGGTCAGCTAAAATGGACCGGATGGGATGATTCCTTCTACAAGCGGACCTGGACTGCTAGGTTTCATTCCTTTCATACTATCATATCAGGTATGTGTACATGCCAGATGGGTCTTCGAGTCTTCACTGGAATCTCTGTTGCAATCATTTCGTGATCAGGAGAATATGAACGCCATACCTTCCAGTAATCAATGGGCATTTTCATGGGTCTATGAATGGCGGATTTTCCAGACAACCATGTTTGATTAGCGGAGGGTCGTCCATACTGTGTTGACGTGCGGTTTTACCATCTACAGCAATGACCAAGTCTCTCGATTTTTCCCCGCCGATCAACAGCTGAGTTCAGCACCACCCCGCAAAGACATTGGACGAAAACACGATGACGGCGGTGTTGGTGGCCATAGCCAACCTGGGGCCACGGCCGCCCTGAAGATATGGTGGGAAGATACACAAAGCAGTGATGATATGTTGATCACTGGCATGGTATACAGATATCCGCCGACCCCGGCCAAGCAAGGGGGGGCGCGCCAGGGAAGAAGAGTTTGGCTTTTGCAGCCTTTTGGGTCTTTCTTGTGCTTGCATGTATTGCTTCGTCAATGGCTCATCCATCAGCGCTTGGGTGGCTTGGAAGGTTTGAGTTGAAGCAAATGTCTGGCACATGTCTGGCTACTATTCTATAAGATTTCAGAAGACACGTTAGGCACTTCTTCGGTGCGATTTGGTGGCTTGTCTGTCCTTCACTGCCATGGTGTTTCAGGCTGGCGAGTCCAGCGTTTGGGCGCCCCCAAGGTGTAAGTTGAAGCACATGTCTGGCACATGTCTGGCACATGTCTGGCTGCCATTCTATAAGATTATAAGATTTCAAAGACACGTTAGGCACTTTTTCGGTGTGATTTGGTGGCTTGTCCGTCCTTCACTGCCATGGTGTTTCAGGCTGGCGAGTCCAGCGTTTGGGCGGCCCGGAAGGTGTCAGCTGAAGCACATGTCTGGCATGCCTTTGGAAGTCGATTTTGGGCGTTTTTGAGCCATTGTTTGACGATTTTTTGCTGCGCTCGGGAAGCAAAAACATCGTAAAATACAATGTTTTTGTCCTTCTCGCATATAGAAACTACATCTTGCAACATGGAGAAAACTGTGTAAATACCAGTGTTTTTGCTAGGCACGGGCACAAAAACACTGTAAATACGGTGATGTTTGCTACCAGAGGCAAAAAAACGTCGTAAATACTGTGGTTTTGGGCTTCCGAGGCACATAAAACATCGGTATTTGCAGTGTGTTTTGCTTCGCAAGTGTCAAAAAAAAAGCGAAAACACCGCCTATTTGACGATTTTTAGGGGTGCACAAAAATGCGAAAGTAAGCTGTGTTGCAACAACAACAACAACAACGACAACAACAAAAACAACAAAAACAAACAAACAAACAAACAAACAACAACAAACAACAACAAACAACAAACAACAAACAACAAACAAAACAAAAAACAACAACAACACCCAACACCCAACACCCAACACCCAACAACCAACAACCAACAACCAACAACCAACAACCAACAACCAACAACCAACAACCAACAACCCACAACCAACAACCAACAACCAACAACCAACAACCAACAACCAACAACCAACAACCAACAACCAACAAACAACAAACAACAAACAACAAACAACAAACAACAAACAACAAACAACAACCAACAACACAACAACACAACAACAACAACAACAACAACAGCAACAGCAACAGCAACAGCAACAGCAACAACAACAACAATAATAATAATAACAACAAGAAGAACAGGAAGAAGAACAAGCACCAAAATGCGATAAAAAGATGTGTGGTAAGATGGTTACAAGCTGCGGTATGACAAGAACATCACAGTGTGCTCTGCACCTGCGCGCACGCGCAGAGCACATGAACAACACCAACGCTCACACTACTATACATAACCCTTATGGCATCGCCGGTGTGCGAAGCTCTACAATATGATCTTGATGTACTCTGTAAATGTCTTGTAATTATGCGTTTTTCTACTCCAGAAAGATTCCCTGCTCACTGGGAACAATTCCATTGGCCATCGCCAATCACTGAGGGCTGTACATGCCGAAAACATCAAAGGCTGTATCCCAAGGCTCGTTGTTGGAAGCCGCATCTGGAAACGGCCTGGTTGGAGATGAGCCCCGCCAAAACATCGTAGCCGCGGGTTATCATGCCAAATACCATCCCCGCCCAACATATGGACCCTGAGAATCACAACGTTTTGAGGGATGTAGTCTTGCAACCGAAGGGTCGATGTGATTTTGGGGGGATGGTAGAGGGATTGGGATGGAAAAAAATTATTGAAATTCCCTTTCACCGGCAAGGCAAGCGAGAAAAACAACTCCCAACAGCTTTCCGACAAAAAAAGGACCTGCGGTACAGCAGTACCAGCTTCTTCTGGTCCAGGAAGCACCTAAAACAGCAGCAAAGGGTGGGTTTTTGTTCTTGAGAAACCGAAACCTGCTGGAGGGAGACATCTTGATTTTTTGGTGACTTTCAGTTGGCTGCCAACTGTCAGCTGATTTTTTGTGGCAATCAAACAGGCGGCTCAAATGATTGATCCATATTGACATTGACCCCAACAATTGAATGGTTTTATAACTCAAAAAATACTAAAAACATCTGGATAAAGACATGTTCATCCAAACACGTGAAACTGTTGAAAACACCTACCAAAAAAAAACAGGCACTAGCGGTTCGACCATCCAAATGTGGTCGTCATTGCAGGCTGAGACGGGAACTCCAGCACCAAGCTGATGATGGCAATGAGGGGCACCTGCCAGGTGCCCTTTGTATAACGGACTTTTGGTGGGTTTACCATGATTGTTAGCAACAACAAAAGGAACTTACAGTTACTATTAAGTTCCTGATTCAACTAGCAATCCGATGCGGTCGCACATCGCACAAAGCGTGCGCTTTGTAGCGGAAGAATCGACAAAATTGTCTGGTCCGTTTGGAGACAAGAACCTACTTCACACGAAAAGCTGCAAATTGCGACTAAGCCTCGGGATTTACAAAAGGGTTACTATCCAATCATAGGTTGGAAGGTCGGGTCCAAACATGCCAGTGACGGCCCACGGGCAAGCAACCACAAACAGCACCGAGTAGCCATAGAGGATCAAGACCTACACCGACAGCGACCACCGATGATTTGGGTACCGTCCGGATGGTCTTTGAAGCGTGAAAGTGCACAATGGAGCCCAAACGGGCTTGGTGCTTCTCACAACAATCCCTATCAGCAGTGACTAAGGTGTACTGACTAAGGTGTACACTCGAAGGAGTAAGCTTCCCAGCGCTTGCAAACCATTTGCGTTTGGTTTTCAACCAACAACCATTTTCCCTCCAAAGCTTTCAATACTTTGTCGGAACAAACTGAATCGAAAGCAACAAACGTGCAGCAAGCAAGGCGGGCCTCATCCATATCTGTGTAGACGTCATAGTCCTTGAATGCATGGGAAAATTGGCAAGTTTCCATTGACAAGCACAGCTCAGAATGCTCAGAACTGAAGCAAAAGTGTGACGACTTCATGGCGTGCCACAAGTTGCCAAGCACTGGCCGACTGGGGTCAAAACCTCTTTCTTGCTCTGCTTCTCTGGGCTAGAGAGATCCGGCCTAAGGACAAGGAGGCCTTCTGACCCCAGGGCTCATGGCCAGTGCTACTCCCGGTACGGTAGAAATGAGCTCCCCTCGTTGTCCAAATCGAACTGAGTGAGAGACATGATGGTCATGGGGTTCCTGGCAACACCAGCAATTCAAAAACTCAACAAAGTACTCCTTGGAAAACCAGGAAATGCCCCAAATTCAACAAGAAATCCATCTGTAATGCCTGTACCAAAAGGATTCGCCACTGCCGATTGCCGAGTGCGAATTTTCTCAGAATTCTGTCACGGTTTCCACAAAAACAGCACACCGCCGGGCAGACGTGAACAAGGTGGCATCGAAGTTGAATGCGGATTCTGGCAAGCGGAAGCACAGGGTAGTCTGTTCATGTCGTTCGCTGGGTGCACCTATTGTGGATGCCATGAAGCGAACTCTGATGAGTTTTTGAAACACACATGGTAAAAGAAAAGAATGTTGACTTCAATGTGATAGCAAACCATCTGACCATGGGTGGATTTGATACCCAGCCACTGATGGCACTGACACCGACGGCCTTCGGTCATTCGACGGTACCACATCATCGCATACCTTGGCAGCTGTTCCGGCCAGCTGAGATTTGAGCAGTTCCCAATGTTCCAAAAAGTTGTGTCCAAAAATGGGTCAATTGTTGGTTTCCCATACCAACCCGGACCATCACAACGAAGGAAATGGGGGTATCATGGGGTATCCCCTGTTCTTGGACAAACCCAGCTCCTTCAGCTCTTTCCATTGGGATGCGGCTTGCTGAGAGGCAAACGGACCCCCGAGTTCAATCATGTTCTGCAAAGTTAGCCTGTGGCAAGCAGTTCCTCCAGCAGTCCCACTGGCATCATTTGGGTATGCCTCAAAACCCTGGGTGTTCTTGGGTCAAATTAGCTTGTGTTCTTGGATTGTGATCCCCCCATTCATATCAAATATCCGGTTAATCTTCAATCACAGCTAGACCCATCCCTATCCAAATCATCCATGTCACTTGGGGCTGGATCTTGTGGCCTCATAAGCATGAAGATGGCTAGCTGTGCGCCCAAGTCATTGAGACCTCAGTCGTGACCATTGATGGCCCAGTGGCCCAGTCCCTACCATCCGGACTATAAATCTACTGTCCAGATTGGGTTTTTCAGGGGTTGTCTCAAAATTGGCCCCAAAATCCTATTGAAATCGTCATATTTTGCCAACAATTCACATGTAAACGGGTCGCCCAACCGTCTTGAGACACACCCAAAAAGTAGTCTTGAAAGCGAAATTGCTACCCTTTTGAGCCCCAAACAATCATCATTGACACAGGTCATGGGCACGCCAAACAAGTAGGAATGCTCCTTCAACGGCTCTGCGGTCGGGCGAACCACAGGTGGGTGTTTCCATCCATGACAGGGCATTCCTGCCAGCCAAATGAGCATTTTCATGAGCTGCCGGGTCCTTCAAGAAGGCGATGTAGTACAAGGACACATAGCAGTTGATGAATTTGAACACCACCATTTTGGCCTCACCAGGTGCTCAGCCCCATCTGCAATCCACTGGGCCTTTAAAGAATGTTTGACCCAGACCTACATGAGTTTGTCTGAAAATAGGGTACCATGATGGGTTACCCCCAAAATTTGATGTTTGATCATCAGATCATGAGTTTTCCAAATTGGTTCCCATTATTAGAATTGCAATTGTCAGGTATACCCCCATGTTTGGACAAACCCACATATGGAAAACACGTCACATGGGCAGCAAGTGCTTCTCAGTTGAAGACCAACAAATGGTTCGCATGCTCCGAGTAGGACCGATGATTCTCACGGTCCTGGAGTTTTTTTCCGGGCTGCGGCTTGGCTTGGCTTGACACTTCACCAGACCCCAAAATGAACGGGAAAGGGGCCGGAAAGGGGAAGCACTTCAGAAACTTCTGATCCGAATCCAAGTCTAAAGATCCATGCCTTAATCTGTTTGACAACCATGGTAGTTTATATAAACTAGTAATTAGAGTTCCCAGGTCAAGTCAAGCCTTGTTTTTTTTTCATGTTTCTTCCTTGGTTGTACCTTTCACCATCATGGCATCACTATCAAGGCTCCGTCAGCCACGTCGCCAAGCTGGTGAACAAAGTGTTCAGGAGCTCCACAATCAATGCATTGATCACCTGCCCCACAGGTCGCCCAAGGGGCGCCAAGTTGTGGTTCGCAGAAAGAGATTGGGCTGATGAAAATTTGAAGGGGCAAACGTGGGAAAACTAATGGAAAACTACTATTCAACCAAAAATCGTGGAGAGACCTGTACTCAACCGACTCAACCAAGGTTTTCAGATCTGATGTTTCAAACCGATGTTTCAGACTCTGAGATCCCCAAAAAAAAATAGATGAAATCTGATGTGACCCCTGTCATCACAGGACAGCACAGCGACCTGGAAGGTGATGCGGCCCCCGTTCTTGTGGAATTCGTGCCGGAGAACCATCAGCACTCCCACGGTGAAGAAGAGCGAGATCAGCGAAACCTGGAAGATCGGTAAAATCTACAGGAAACCTCCGGAAAACCATGGTTTTCAATGGGTTTTCAGGCATTTACCTCTTGGTACCAGGGGATTCCCATCGCCCATGTCATCGAGAAGCCCATCCTCATCATGGCTATGTAGCCTTGGAGTAGAGCCATCTCTGAGCCAAGGAGCAAGGATGACTGAATAGCTGAAAAGCACCTTCCAGATTCGCTCGCTCCATGGATAGTACCTGGGTCCCATGGGTTAAGTCGCTGGAACCAGGGATACACCCTGGTTAAGCCAACAAGGAATCCAAAAAATGTGTTTGGAAATGATGTCCTAGCTGCAAACAGCCGTATATTTATATATTTATATATACGAATGCAGAAATATTACACACAAGGTGTCCATCCTTTCATGTCCACATATTTTAGACCTCAAAAGATGCCGTCATGCCGTTCTCAGGCTCAGACCGATCCACTCTGCTGGTAATTGGATTCACCCTACTGACCTCAGGGAGCCATCAGTGAAATCACTCAGCTCCACCAGCCGCCCCAGCCACCCCAGCCGCCCCAGCCGCCCCAGCTGAGTGCTGGCGCCCCATAGAACTCCGGGCGCGTTGGTTCGGGCTTCTTCTTCATGGAGAAGGTACCCCACCTGGAAATACCAAGGTATTCACTTGGATCAGCCTCAGGAAAATGTCAAATGTTAGATTGATTAGTAGCCAAACAAGAAGAACCAAAGCTCCTGTTTTTTTTGGTTTCTTATATAACGATCCTGATTGGCAAACTCCCAGTCAGCCACTCCCAGTCAGCCACTCCCAGCCACTCCTCTTTTCTGATGCATGATCATCATAGCTCAGGAGCTGACTTCAAAGCGTAGAGATGAGACTTCCTTCGCCAGAAATGAATGAAAGTCGTCGAGAAGAGTCCAACACCTCCAGCGACATTCTCGACCAACTTGGGATATGACTTCTTGAAAGGGTTTTTATTAATCGTTCAGTCTGGGGTCATCTTTACATGTTGTGAAACACTGAAAGTCCCTCTCGAATCTTTGTAAATCAAGAAAGATCCATGGAAATTGCCATTTTGGATGATTTCCAGGGATTTCCAGCTCTCAAAATGGCCATTTCCAGGGAACTGATGTTCAATCTGCGATGATTTCCCAGTTCAATTTCGCAATCGCCCCTGCGGCTTGCCTATGCAGATAAAGACGGCTGTGAAGTTGTTGGATGTGCCAAAGAACAAGTCGATGACCTGGTCAAGACGTTGCACGAAATATCAGTGTTGAGGGGTTCAACAAAAATGGACAGTGCCGGGTCTAGGTCGAAATTGACCCATACCCATATGACTCTGTACGAGGATCTTGGCAAAGCTGAAAATCTAGTGTGTGGCTTTAGGAGCCTCAAATCCAATGGAAGTGGGGAAAAATACAGTGTGTCCAAATTATTGTATGTCACCAACGCGAAACAAGGTTAATTTGGAGTTCTCTTCTCACAATTAAACTTCACCTTTGACGTTTTGACCAAACCAACCAGTGAACTTCGGGTGGATCAAAAATTGGGCATACCCAAATTGACAACAGTTCATCATCATCATCATAATCATCATCATCATCATCATCCACCATCATCATCCACCATCATCATCCACCATCATCATCCACCATCATCATCCACCATCATCATCCACCATCATCATCCACCATCATCATCCACCATCATCCACCATCATCCATCATCCATCACCCACCATCATCCACCATCATCACTCATCATCATCACTCATCATCATCACTCATCATCACTCATCATCACTCATCATCACTCATCATCATCATCACTCATCATCATCATCATCATCATCATCACCATCATCATCATCATCATCATCACTCATCATCAGCACTCATCACTCAGCACTCATCACTCATCACTCAGCACTCATCACTCATCACTCATCACTCCACATTCACTGGCCATAAAATGCGGGAATGCCCTCATATGCCCTCATTTTCTCAATCTCAGCTGGGTTTCGGACACACAGAAAGGTGCCCACCACTGTAGGGATCAGCAGCCACTTGATGAAGTGGGACCTGGGTTTGTGGCCAAAGGCATACCCCCAAGATATGGACATTTCAATAGATTTTCATGGGGATAAATCGAATAAAGCATGGGAATTTGGGGGGTTGAAATATGTTTGAGACAACTCCATCTTTGGGCAGTTGATCAGACGTGCCGTTGAGCTATCTGGAGTAGCTGAGTAGCATCACGTGAACCTGAGGTTTCATATGCTACTTTCTAGATATCAACGGACTGACACATGCTGCAGACATCGCAACGGAATGGCCCATTGTCTGGGACTGTTTCTGAAGGTAGGGCACCCTGCATGAAGAGAAAGTAAAGAGCAATACGCTCACCAAAGTAGTTTCTGACCTGTGCCACAGGCTCACTCAGCTTAACACTGCCCAGTACCCAATGTCAGTTGGTGCAACTGGGGCAACCCCGTTTTTTATCGTGAAAGACCATTTCCCCACTGGAATAGTTCATAGCCACAGAGCTTCGAGCTGGCCTTGTGAATGTTTCGGCCCATGACGAAGGTCTTGAACCAATCTTTGTCCATGTCTTCCAAATCTCCTGGCCCGTGATCAAAGATTGCTGCAAGGCTCCACCCATACTCCTGGGTCTCTTCGGTTTTGTGGGTGAATGCATGTTTTTAACACCCTCAACTGCTAAACGACGTCCCAAAATCAAGAACTTATTGTGGTTCAAGAAGATCTGTGCTTCTTGTTTCGCTCCATGTGGTTGCCAAAAAACACACCGCAACTCCAGCCAGTGTCACTCTGCTCGTGCAGTGGGAAGTAGTGGATCAGGTGGCCACTTAGCATGCAATGCGGCATGACATTGCTGCCAGGAGATTTGAATGGAAGACCCAATAGGGTACCACATTCTGCCCTTGAAGTACTCAATCTGGATGTCACGAGCTGAGACTTACACGAGGTCTGTGTTTAATGGTCTCAAAACAAGCGCCATCTCTTGTACAGGTGTTGTTTTGCATTCTATACTTTGTAAACAGCCATGGATCATGCTTCAAGACAAGACTTTCACCACTCTCTGCAGTTGGATTATGATATTGCCAACAAAAATTGGATATACCAACCCCAAAAAAGATAGAAGAGGAATTTATCACTATTTTACTAGGGTGTTTCTTTTAATTCTCTCTCCTTCCAGGGTTATATCATGAAGCAACTCAGGGTCAACTAGTCACTGCTGAGGTTTCAACTCGTGCAACAGCTGGCCAACATCTACACCTGCACAGTTGTGATCTCCACTTCGTACCTGCACCCATCCAGCGAAAAAACGTGGGGGCAGCTGGTTTGGGAGGCTTGGGTTTACGGTTGACAGCGGGGCAGAGTTGAACTAAACTGGCACTTCTTGGATCTGTTGGCAGATCTGTTGAGTCCTGGAGATCATGTCAGGGATGGCTTATCCCGTCCATACCAGTGATTTTTGGTGCACGTAACGAAATTAAACATGGCTAGCTGGGAAATCCCCGATCAAAGTGGAGGCTTTAATGGGATAATCATAGAGAAACGGGGGATTCTTCTGTTGCCGTGTTTGAGTACTGGAAGGTAATGACCCCTGAGAGTCAATGGGATTAATCCCAAATAACCAGTTGAATCAGAGCAAAGATGTCATCCAAACTGTTGGTCTTATCCTTGAATTGTCGGAGTAACCATCCGCCAACGTCGGGGTGAGCTGCTGAATTTCCACATGTGGCCCAAATATCACCGTTGTTTCATGGTTACTTCACTCAATGGATTGGCTTAAGGGAAAATCTACAGGAAACCATAGAGTGTCCCATTAAATATGGTGCTTTCCTCTAAATTTTCCCTTAAACCAATCCATTGATTCACTACATCAACCATATCCATATCATATGTCCATCTCCATCACCAACCGGATCCCAGGTGCAATGTGATCGATCAAACGAAGGCGATCCACGGTACGGAAAATGGCGTCTGCACCGCAGACGCGGGGGCGGAGGAACATCTCTGGGTCCAAGTTGGATATGGATCAATACCTGTTAATACCATTTTTAGGGGGATGAACATCCATTTACCAGCTATTTTGATGTTCACCAGGGGTACAAGGTTTTGACACAGTGCCAGTTCAATAAGTAGAGGCTTTTTTCCATGAAACGGATGTGACTATTATCTGTGCAGCCAGCAATATTAGGACTATTCGAACCGAAAATAGGAGGTATGAATTGGACAATGATGCATCTGGAATTAAAAATTGTATGATTGTATTTTTCTGTTCAGCAATAATCGGTGGATTCAAAAATTGGGCAGAGGGGCCACCGTGCCACCGTGTCCGAATTTCTTCCAGGTGGGGCCAAACCTGCTGGGGAGCCTGGGCTGTATCTTTTAGCACCCAATGTTCGGTCGATGATTTGTTTTGTAAGTTCATGAAACCAATGATGCTTGCTCAATATACCTGTTGCTTTATTCATTGAATCCGTATGGTCGTTGGTGAATCTCTCCCTATTTTGGTCGCGTCTCTGCCTTTTTGAGGGTACTCACCCTCCGTCTCTTTGTCATAGTGCGTCTCATAGAGGTGCGAGACCTCAGTCAATCCAGTCTGAAAATGTGGGTTCAACCTAGAAATATGGTGAAACATGGGGATTTAGCCCATAAAACTGGGATCAATGGAGTTGTTTCCAAAACTCTGCAGGAAACCATTCTTGTTTATCGAAGTTGACCAATAAATAAATATGGAGGATTTCAGTGCAAATTATGTGCAGCCAACAATAGCCCTAAGCTCCACCATCAGTGTTGGCATTCCCCAAATCCCCAAAACAGGTTCCGAAAAATTACACCGCAACTGCAAGGGTACCCTCTGGTAATTTAACAGTTCGCTATTGAAAGATCCACCATTTTTTTAATGGGAAAATCCACTATGTCTATGGTCATTTTCAATAGCTATGTTAGTCATTACCAGAGGGTAACTCCCATTAAATCCCATTAAATCCACTAATCATCCACTACCCAGCCACTAATCATCCACTAATCATCCCACCATTTGAACTGGAAAATCTCACGGCAAATCCCCATATTTCCAGAATTTTCCAGGGCTCCAGGCAATGCAGCGATCGCTATAGTTCAGATCGCGGCGACCTGGTTCGGTAGGGGACGACTGGTCGGCGTCCGGCCAAACATGGCCATGGAAAAAAGAGGTCAATCATGGTAAATCATGGTAAATCATGGGTAAATCATGGTAAATCATGGTAAATCATGGTAAATCATGGTAAATCATGGGTAAATCATGGGTAAATCATGGTAAATCATGGTAAATCATGGGTAAATCATGGGTAAATCATGGTAAATCATGGTAAATCATGGGTAAATCATGGTAAATCATGGTAAATCATGGTAAATCATGGGTAAATCATGGTAAATCATGGTAAATCATGGTAAATCATGGTAAATCATGGGTAAATCATAGTAAATCATGGGTAAATCATGGTAAATCATGGTAAATCATGGTAAATCATTGTAAATCATGGGTAAATCATGGGTAAATCATGGTAAATCATGGTAAATCATGGGTAAATCATGGTAAATCATGGGTAAATCATGG